ATTATTATTATTATTATTATTATTATTATTCAGCTTATGTCCTATATTTATTTACCTGCTTACTCATGGCCCCATGATGGCCCAATCTGTCCGTTGATGGATCAGTGAGTTCTGCATGAGGCAAGCCTGACCTTGAGCTTGGTGGGGAAGGTTGCATGTGCTCAGACTCTTGGCTGAGTAAGTCAGATCCTATAAAATTTTCCTTTAGAAATGGGGACTATGATGCGGTTCTCTTACCAGTGGCCTTGCTTCTCTTCTCCAGGTAAGTATGATTCAGTGACACATTACCCTGAGGCTCAGCTGTCACACGGTAAATGATGGATATTGTCATGTATTAGGGAGCTTTCGTGTTTCTCTGTTTACCTACCTTGTGATTTCTAAACCATTAGAAATGGACATTTTTCTTTGTCCATACGAGTGTCAGTGGAATCCTATGTGATTTCACAAATCACTGCCAACTGGCTTAGAGGGATACTTCTGTACTGAGAGGGTCCTGACTGGAGTCCTTTGGTCCACGTTCTGTCTCCATCATCCATCGGTTTATTTTCCCAAAGTCTGAACTGTGAGGGAGCTGCATTCTCTACTGATTTAGGAGCGTTCTAGAACCCACAGGAAGAAGCCTGGCTGAACAAATTGTGCAGTGGGCTCTGGCTGTCGCAGTTCTGTGGGTGAGATGAAGCAGCAACTTAACAAAGAGCAGAAGGAGAATTCTCAGGGGGATAGAACTGGGGCACAAATGGAGTGCCAGAGCTAGAAATTACAGGTCTCCCGAGTAGAAAAATTAAACACAAAAAGGAATCTTTCACTGCTAAGAGCTGAATTATTGCTATGGGAAGATCAGTTATGTAAGTTATCTCACAACACACGGCACAACAAAAATACAAAGAAATAGAACTCTTAACTGAAGTGTTAACATATACAGTAGAGGAAGCTAGGGATCAAGCCAGAGGTGGGCAACGGATGAGGAGAACGCACTGCCATTGTCAGCTAAATGAAGTGTTAAGAATTTCCAAGTTCAGAAAACAAACAAACAAAAAATCAGAACTGGCTGTTAGCGACTTGATAGCAGATAGCATGAAACCTTCTCATAAGAGTCCATTATTCTCAAGTAGTAACTTTATTACAGAGATAGGAAAGGAAAATAAGGGGCCAGTATGGAAATAAGCAGTGGGAACATGGCCTACAGTTCTAACCTGAGGTGTTTGCTATGGGGTATCGTGCACAACTTCATGCATTCCTTATTTTTCATGCAACTAAAAATATCATTTCATGTGAAATCATAATTTCCCGCTCCATGGCTCTGAGACACCACATTCATATCTGGAATTTTGCCTAAGAAATGTTTTCACAG